CAAGTGGTGCAGGCAAGTGGGCAAGTGGTGTGACTAAAGTAAGCCCATGTTGGAGAGAGTCTAGAAGGTACCAGTCCGGTCCAGCAAGTACCACGGGGGGAACTGTGTGCACCATGGGCCAGGGACGCAAGGCAGGCCAATGCAGCACAAAAGTATAAATCAAGAGGCTGCGTCCATTCATGGATTCATTCCTGCGGATGCCATGCGGAAGCGCTGCCTAGCAGCTTGTGCGAGGAGGTCTGCAGAGTGCCCGAAGACAAAGTGGGTAGAGGAGTAGAGTGCAGCGATAGGTAGTGGCAGCTAGCGCTGCCATAGCGGTAGCCTAGCATGTGTGTGTGTGTGAAGTGTGATACTGAGTGTTGCGTGTGGGACATCCAGGGTGATCCAKAGTGCGAACAGTGAGTTGTGTGGGCGCTCAGTCGCCATAGCCAGTTTGAAGAGAACTCTTATGTGGATACGACATCTTGAGTACTGAGTGGGCGCCTGTCGCCAATTTGCTGTTTCGCTGTTTGCATACATGACAAGTTGAATAATCGTAGTGTGATTTCACAAAGACCACAAATAAAATAAATAATAAATTGCAATTATTATGTAGTTCCACATGAGCCGCTCGTCCCCCGAACTTCTAATGTATGCTACAGCTCATGATGGAGGCAAAGCACCAAACAATGTGACAATAAAAAAACAATAGTGGAAACATACCAAGTACGTGGTCTGGTTGACCCCCGATCTTCCTCTTTGTTTGGCATACCATGCCATCAAGTAGTGTCTTCCACCCTCTTTGGTGGCCATGCCACCCTTGGGAAATTTGGCTAGGAAGTGGAGAAGAGCACCAAGGGGTATCGTTGGAGTCAGAGCTCTTGGTTTACCACCAGAACTGGGTTGATGATGGTTACTTGCCTGGCGATCTGTCCTGCAGAAAGTGCTGATGATTGCAGTGTTCTTAGTCCCATTATCCAACAAGGATGAAAAGTCCTGGTAGCTACTGTAAGACAGCTCCTGTTTTTCCATCCATCCTTGATTCTTGAGGAGCGGTTCAATCAAGAAACGTGCTGGGGCAGCTGCTGCAGGCGCCCTTGTCTCAATCCCGTTGGTTTGGTTTCCGCACAGATTCTGTTCTCAGTAGCAGTAATTTCCTTCCATAACATCTTTCATTCCCCGGGCTGAGCTCTCTCTAATCATTCGTCATTCTTTGTGTCCATTCGCACTGTTGCACCCACATCATCCACCCAATGCACATGATGCACCGAGGATTTGGTCTTTTCTAGCGACTTAATGAACTCAAATCTCATAGTTAGCATGCAGAATGCATGCTAATTGTGGACTAGGGCTCTTTCCAATAGGGATACAGGCCTCTTGGTTACCCACCTTCACTGTGCAAAAGGTATGCAAGTTCAGCAGCTTGAAGTCCACGAACATCCGGATGAGCCCAAACCTTACCCCTCTTCGCGAGGCTGTTGTGGTTTATGACTACCCACCATGTGTCCGATAGTAGAACCGTGTGGGCTTGAAAGCACTTCGTGTGGCAACAATCGCAACACAGAGTACGAGGCCAATGAGACGCAACCGTCGGCCACAGACAACGATCAATTCATTAAAGGGAAAAGGTCTCCACGCTGAATGTAATTATCGTGTGCATCTGTCCTAAATTACAGGACTGAGTTACCCCGTATCTCTATGGAAGTTTCTCACTCGTCAGTTAGTACCCCTTATCTCTATGGAAGTTTCTCACTCGTCTTATTGTTGAGATGCTATCTCCTGTACCTACAAACAATACGACCTTGAGATTAGGTGGTGCACTAGGAATGAGCTACAAGGGACAGCCTCTGACTTTGTCTTACACTAGGAGAGAGCTATAAGGTGGTAAAGGTTGTATCGTTCTCGGTGGACCTTGATACGGTTTTTGATGTGGACAGGGACCTGTATCAGCCGGGTTTCGATGCCTGTATCTGCATGTTTTGTATCTGTTTCGTTTTTTCTATACCCATGTGGAAAGGGACTTGTATCCACAGGGATTCGATACCTGGGTCTGCATACTAGATTACCTTTTCGATGCGGACAGGGATCTGTAGCAGCCGGGTTTCGATGCCCGTATCTGCATGTTTTGTATCTTTTTCATTTTTTCTGTACCCGCGTGGAAGGACTTGAATCCACAGGGCTTCGATACCTGGATCTGCATGTTAGTTACCTTTTGATTTTAGTTTCTGGTTGTTCCCTACGGTACTTGGGATGACTGAACCTTGGACCACTTAGTACTTAGTCGTTGTTTCTAGCTTTGGATCACTAGTAGTTGGAACCGATAGTTTTTCTTTTTCTTTTTCGTCCTGGACTTTTCGGGAAGCCCCGACATTGTGTTAGCAATGATTGTCTGCTACACACAGGGCTACGGCACGGGCTGTTTGTAGATGGAGATCGTATGACTGTCTGGTTTTTCTTCCCCTGATACATAAATATAGAGCGTCCGTGTTATTACGTCTTTTACAGGTCGAACGTATCTCGCTGCACGCCAGCAGCCGGATGCTGGTGTTATGCGAGAACGGGAGTGGGTTTGGGGAACGATGGAGCTGTAAGGGGAAGAAGGCCGGAGGAAACCCCCTGAAGAGACACAGTGGCTGGTGTCGAAACGCGGCGTCGGGGACGCCCCACCTGTATTGTGCTACTTTGTAATATTCGAACGCTTTACTTTGTCTCATGTCGAATGTTACGTGAGTGATGTTGTGCATGAAGACGTTTTGCTTTCATATTCTGTGAATCTGCATACTGCGCGTGTGAACACTTTCGGAGTCGCTTTACCGAAAGGGGTGAACACGTAATCGTCCTGTATGACTGGTGTCTTGAAGTTTGACTATGCTATCGAACGTTGGAGTTTCGAGGAAGTGAAGTTTGTCAATTACGAGTTGGATTACCATGTCGAATGAACAGCGAGAGAGCGGAGGTGGCCATGGAGGTAACCAGGAGAGAGGGCAGCGGAGGCCTCCAATTACTTGTTACGCATGCGGTGAGGAAGGACACTATTCGACGCAGTGCAGAAACCCGAGACCGGGCTGGCGAGGGGCCCACCAATCAAGACCGTCCAACTCCTCAGACTCCAGGCGAGGGAGATCGTATTCACCACGCAAGCATTACAGAGGATCTACTTCCGAAGATCGCGAAGTACAATCCCAGGTGAAGGAGATTGGAGATAGCGTGGCAACATTGCGTGAGTATATCGAAGCCGACCGAGCTAAGAAAGATGCGAAGGCTCGTAAGAAAGCCGAAAAGAAGGAAGCTGAGCGCATTGCTAATGAGGAGAAGGAAGCTAGGGAGCGCAAAGCTAAGAAGAGGGCGGAGAAAGCTCGGGAGGAGGAAGAGAGAGTTGAGGCAATACGTAAGGATATAGATCTACATGTCAAGCTTACAGTGAAGGAAGCACTCAGTGGAGCCTGCTCCGAGTTCCGGGATGCTTTCGATGCTGCGAAGCTCCACGAGAAGATGAAGGGGAAACAAAAAGTGAACTACGTACCGGATGAGGAATTCTCCGATGACGAATTTGTGAGCAGTGATACGGAGGAGATACGTGAACGGACGCGAGGTCTAAGTATTAATGAAAAACGGAAGAGAGGGCCAGATCCTGTCTTCGAGGATAGCCCGCCCATGGAGTTGCCGGCGAAGAGGACACCTAAGCGTACACCGAAGCGTACACCGAAGCGTACACCGAAGAGGGGGATTTCGAAACCGGCGAAGCTTACACCAAGGTTGGCTCGTTCGAAGACCAAGGCGAAGGTAAAACTCTTCCCAGCAACCAAGGAACGATTCAAGTTGGCAGTGAAGCGGAAGATCCCTGCTACGATGGGCAAGATTGGTTGTTACAAGTTCAGGGACGAGGTGATGCGACTGCTCAAAGAGCACGACGCGATTACTCTGCAAAACCTTTGCTTTGAGGAAGGGATTCAGTATAATGGTAAGATTGATGCGATCTTTGACTAAGCGGAGCACAGGACTTACACCGCCTATGGTACCGACGACGAAGACGATGGGCAAGTTGTGGGGAAGTAGGATGTTGACGACGTCGGTACGACGGAAGTCGTCGAAGGTAATGAGGGAGATGCCGAGGAAGTTGACGAGTGATGCATTTTTGGTATATCCGAGTATTGGAGGCTTTGCGAGGTTTTGGTTGACGTACGTGGTAAGCTTAATAAGATTGACCGTAAGTTGGAATTGCTGTTTCGTATGATCGTTGTCCGACTGTCCATCGCTGGATGTATTCGTTGGAATAGGAAGTGTATCTTTGCTTGGGTACGGCTGTACGAGCTGTTTGGGTTTGAGTTCTTGCATCTGAAGAACGTTGTATATGTCTCAGTGTCCCCGTTCTGTCGAGCGTAGTATGTCGGGAAAACATGTCGGGATGTGGATGTACGATGGGGGGAACACTTGTACGCTAGTAAGCATAAGACGTCCACCCACTTTCATCGTTGGATAGGCTGTTTTGGACCACGGAACTATACCTTGATCTCTATCGATACTATCGATGGGAAGGAGTTGTTGAATTTGGAACATGTGTATATTACGCAGTGGTCGCGTATCCTAAATACAGTTGGACCTAAGAAGGGAGGTGGGAAAAAGAGGCGTACGAGAAAGGGAGCTAGGGAACGACGGAAATCTCATCCGCAGGAGTCAAAATCTCACAGAGAGGTACACCCTATCAGATTCACGAGTAGGGAGCATGATGGGATATTTGTTAACCTCTGTGATTTTTTATCGAAATGCTCGTCCAAGGGATGTACCAAGTTTGACCTCCAATGTGATGGAGGAAACACTTGGCACACACCCTGGAAGAAGATCCGAAGATTGTTTGGCGAAAATGTCGTCGAGATTGATGGACTGACCCTTCGTCTAAAATTTGCTAAGAGCTATTTCGAAAATGGGGGCTTGTTTCGGTTCACCCACCTGAGGATTTGGAAGCCTAGATGCAAAGCACTCAAGCTTGTTTTGATTGGAATCTTGAATAATCCTCGGAAGCTCAAAGAGGTGTATAGTTGGAATATGCGGTCAGTCTTACGGCTATACGCAGTGATTAAAGACTTTAGCCGAAAATCGACTCGGAAGTACCTACGTAGGTTGTTGCAGAGAGTATTCAAGGATCGATTCAAGTTAAGCCTGAGCGCTGACCTGGTTGTTAGAGTAAAGTTTGATGACTGAATTAAGCTATCTGAGCTTAGGAAGGTTATTAACGATATGATTATGGACTGCGAGTTGCCAGCGTGCTTTAAGGCTCGCGCACGTAAGAAGGTCCGCCTCGTCTGGACTAAGAACCAGTCCGTTGGGGACATCTTGCACAATCAACGGCAGTATGCCGCTTGTAAAGTGCTAATCTGCAACTGTGCAGATCTACCTTTCCCTCGCGTGGAAGGTCACGTGTGCGTACGCCTCAGCGCGTTGTGCGATGAGTTACTTCTGATTGCTAACGCTAAGAACATTCCTATGCCGCATGTCTGTGATCGGATTACATTGCTCCATCACAAAGTGTTCAGAGCTTTAGCTTAAGTTTGAACTACCGAGATCAGCAGGTTAATGTGGATAAGGTTGCGTTGGACCGATGCTTTGTGAGTAAGAGTGAGGATAGGACATCCTATCTCACCGTCACTGATGTTTTGGATGTGAAGAGCCAGTTGCATGGTTTGGTATGCACCCCACTCGATCGTAATGTAGGCGAAACCCTGGTGATTTGCCCGAAGATGTATTTCCAAGCGATGATGTCCACCTTCGTGATGAATGAAGGATACAGTGTTGTCTGTAAACCGGAGGAAGATGTGCTTAAGGGAATGAAAGCAGAAATGCAGATGATGGGACTGAAGTGTATGGCCAGATGGGATAGGAAAGGGAAGCTAGGGTCTGCTTATGTGTTACCGAAGCAGAAGGACGTCACCAGATACAGACCCATTTGCCCGACCTTCAACGAGCCCATGGTGAAGACCGGGCGTCTGGTCGCTAAAGCCCTGAATCACCTACTTTTCTCTTTGCCCAAAGAGTGGCATTTCAATTTGCAAAGCGTGTCCTTTTTGGTAGACCGCCTTACAGAAGTCAACCGTAAGATGGCGGGGAGGGAGAGAGGATATGGGGTGAATGCGATGTCATACGACATCAAGGAGATGTTTAGTCGGTTACCTCATAAGGATATTATGGATGCCGTCGATTGGATTTCCTCGTATCACAGAGGAAAAGGCAGGGAGTTTGTGCGAGTGAATAGCAGAGGGAAAGGGTGCAACTTTGGCTTGACGACAGGGGGTGATCACTGGAGAAAGATCGAGATCCGGGTATTGTGCAATTCGTGTGTCTTGAACTTTGACACACGTACACATATGCTACAAGGGTTCTTCTGAAACAGGACGTTGGCATCCCCATGGGGAAGAGCACAAGTCCGCCCCTTGCACGCATCATGTGCGCTCATGCGGAGTACAAGTTCTTAGGAAGTCTGGGAGTCCTTAGGAGGAATGTGTTCGGGATCAGATTGATTGATGATGTGGTTTTGATTACATGTGGGATGCGACCACAGGTGAAGGTAGTGCAGCAGGAATTTGAGGACTGCTATCCGAATAATATGTGTCTGAAGCGGACAGATGATGGTTCCGGAAGTTTCGGCTTCCTGGGATGCAGAGTACACGCAGACAGTACCTATCCGTATGTCGGATGCGTGCAGATGTCGAAGAACGAGGTGAGTATGTGGAAGGATGAAATACTGGAGATCCGAACTGGTCAATCGTTTCAATCCTGGGGATGTAAAAGACAGAAGAGTGCGATTGTAGGGAGTTACCTACACCACATTGACCAGAACACCTCGATACGCTCCGAGATACCCACCAGGGTACTGAGCTTGAAGAAGGAACTGAGGTTAAAGGGTTTTCCACACAGATTCTTCATGCGGGTCCTCACGAGGTTCGCCAGGAGACGTGACGAGATCTGGGAATACACAGCTGCTTTGATGTCTCACTTTTCTTAGTACCAGTATAGACCTCATGCTGGTACCATGTACTGTAGGTTTGCTCTGTGTTGACTTTTTCGGATAGAACTAGTTGTTTAAGTACTAGCAGGCACCTGTATCTGGATGGTACGGTTTTTGATGCGGACAGGGACCTGTATCAGGTGGGTTTCGATGCCAGTGCAAGGAACATGAATATGGACGAAGCACAGAAATCCAGAATGCAAAATCACACTGAAGTCCAAGTAGTCCAAGCCAAAGCAGATAGCACAATGGAACCGAGTAACCATCCAATTGAGAATGATACAGAAGAATGGTGAGTCAATGTCCATGCCCAACAGGGCAACACCAACAGCATAACCCAAATGTAGCTCTCTCCTGTGAATGGCGCCAGGCGCCCTATCTACTCTATAGCCTAGCCTACAACTACAGCAATGAAAGCAACCAGACAACTTGACTACCAGCGAGTGATGATGTCAACACCAATGCCGACCTCCACCTCCACCACGTACGTGTCCTCTTCACCCACACTCTCCCTTGTACCCACACAGCGCCCTTCACCTCCGAAGAACCACCTTCGCCCTTCACCCCTCTGCGCCCTCTGCAGCTCGGCTATGGCCGCCAAGCGCCCAGTGCACAGGCAGCGCCCTACCGCCTAGCGCATGCCTGCCTTGCACTACCTCTTAGCGCAGCGCAGCAGCCAGCAGCTCGCATTTGCGCAGCGTGCCGGCATTGCCCGCAATGGCCAAGATCCCATGCCCACTCGCCCTGCTTGCCTATATGCCAGTGCAGCGTGTGGGCGGCCTCCCTTCAGCCTGTGACCGGGGCCCAGAGGCTGAACCCAGCCCGATACAGTTGGGTCCCGGGGGAATGCAGTTGCGCCTCCTTCATCAAGGCTTGCGGCCAGATTCAGATAGTGGGCAGATTTCCCTTTGGCATTTTCGGCCTCTATACCCAGCATGCATTGTCGGCCTCACGTTCGAGTGCCCAGGGCCTAACTAACTCAGAGGCCCTGGGCTTTCAGCATTTGCTGAAATCCGAGACTCRGHGMACTCCAACCAAYTGGCGTGCTGCAACTGTATGGACCCCACTTCGTGAAATGTTGGCACAGAGGGCTCTTGTTGATTTGCTGGCCCGCCTTCACTTAGGGCGGGCACGAGGCTTGCTAGGGCCTTAGCCCAGAACATGTACATCAGGGCAAGGCCCCTACTTGAGGGCTCGTTCCGCACATTCCATCCCCCTTAGCTTCGAAAGTCCGCTGAGATGCTTACTTCGCAGGTGCCTTCCCTTTCAGCTTCCTTTTATATTCTGCCACCTGAGGAGCTGTCTCAATCAGTTCCTCCCTGGTGAACCACCGATCTTCTTTGGGATCCGTGTGATGCCTGAATCTGACGCGATATTCTCTCTTGGGTTTAGGAGGTCTTCCTCGACCCAGCGGCTTTGCAACAGGCATGTCCCTGTGATCCACAATGTCGTCGATGTCGACTTGTCCATCCATGGTTGGGGGCAGCATTGATCTCCTGGAAGGGAATTGATCAGTCTCAGCAAAAGGTGCAAGCTTTGAGGCATGAAAGACTGGGTGAGTGCGTAGGTGTCCAGGGACACGAATGACATATGTGGGACCATCCAACTCATCCCCCACTACATCCAAGACTTCCCAGGGACCAAAGTACTGAGGCATTAGTTTACGAGATATTCCGAACTCCTGTCCTAACTCACTAGCCTTGACCCAGACACGTTCCCCTACCTGAAATGTGGACTATCTGCGATGTTGATTCTCAGAAGCAATCATGGCTTGCTGAGCTTTCTTCATATGTTCAACAGCCTCTTGCAACAACTTCTCATATTGCACACCATATTCAAGTGTGCCTGGAGTTGCAGCGGGTCGGTTTTCAGGTAGGAGGAAGTCTACTGCTGATCTAGGCTTCGATCCCAAGTGCAGCTGGTTAGGGCTAACGCCGGTACTGCTGTGTACATCATTGTTGTACAGGCTGGCGATGAGAGGTAACTGCTCATCCCAGTCATCCTGGCTGGGCTTGATGTATTGCCTCAGCAAGTGTTGTACAACTCTATTCATTTGTTATGCCTGTCCGTTGGCTTCAGGATGATTCCCTGAAGTCATTTGAAGTTGACTGCCCATCTGTTCAGCAGTCTTCTTCCACAGCTCAATTGTGAATCGGATGTCTCGGTCACTAATGATGGTCTTTGGTAAACCAAAGTCCCTTACCCAGTTGTCCTTGAACAACTTGATGATGTATTCCTTCCTGGCTGTCTCTGGCATTGGTACTAGTCTAGCGTATTTGGTGAATCGGTCGATGATGACGAAAATGTGCCTCTTACCACTCTTGCTGGTCACTAGGGTGTCCATGAAATCCATGGAAACACTCAATCCTGGACCATCAGGAATAGGTAAAGGTTTCAACAACCCAAGCGGTGCTTGAGTTCGCGGCTTGTCCCGCTGACAGACCTGACAGGTCTCAACGTACTTCTTTGYGTCATCAAACATYCTGGGCCACCAAAATCGCTGTATKAAGTTARCACTCGTCTTTTTKTAGCCAAAGTGYCCGGTTGCGTCATGACATTCGCCTAAAAACAAACTACGCAACTGTTCACTAGATGGAACTACCAATCTCTTTATTCCGGCCTTATCAAGATAGAGTAACCCGTCCACCATCACAAACTCACTTTCCGTGGCCTTATCTTTTGCCTGAAGTTTGCGGATGATGTCCATCGTGACAGGGTCTTCTTGATAGGCTCCCACCAATGATTGAGTTAATTCATTAGATACGCCAAAGTCAGAAACTAGCTCACCTAGGTTGTCTGCTCTACGGGATAGCGCGTTTGCAACCTTGTTGTACTCTCCCTTCAGGTACTCAAGCTTGAAGTCATATTGGTCTATGACCTCAATCCATCGCTTGAGTGTATCAGAAAGAGCCGGTTGAGTCTTGATCCATTTGAGGGTCTGATGATCAGTCCTCAGGTAGAAGAACCTTCCCAAAAGGAAGTGTCTCCAATGGACAAGTGCCTTGTAGAGAGCATAGAGTTCCCTTTCGTAGGTGGACTTAGTCAACTTCTTCGATGGCATCTTCTTACTCATGTACTCAATCGATCTCAACTTTTTCCCATCCTGCTGAGCCAGCACTGCGCCAATGCCGTATTGGCTTGCGTCAGTGGTCACTATGAATGGCTTYTGCGGATCGGGAACCATGAGAACTTCATGATTCATGAGTGCATGCTTCAATCTCTTGAAAGCACCCTCGCACTCATCACTCCAGTTCCATGGTGTGTCAAGTCGAGTTAGATCAGTCAAAGGAGAGGCGACTGTAGAATAGTTCTTKACGAAGTTCCTATAGTAGCCGCACATTCCTAAGAATGATYTGACCTCAGTGACWRTCTGAGGTCGTGGCCAGTCTCGAATACTAGCCACCTTCGCATCTTCCGGCCTAATTCCCTCCGCGGATACTTCATGACCCAAGTATAGTATCTTAGTGCGGTCAAATTCGAACTTCTCTAAGTTGACCTTATACTTGTGCTGTCGCAGGAGTGAGAGTACTTTCTCAACATGTTGTGCATGCTCCTCGGCAGACTTACTAAAGATCAGAATGTCGTTTAAGTAGACCACGAAAAACTTCTCTAAATGGTCATGGAAGATCCGATTCATAGTGTGCTGGAACGTACCCGGCGCATTACAAAGACCAAAGGGCATGACTACAAACTCATACAGACCATAATGGGTTTGAAAAGCTGTCTTGTGTTGGTCCTCAGGTCTTATTGCGATCTGGTGATATCCGGATTTCAAGTCTATCTTGCTATAGTACTTGCATCCCTGCACCCTATCCAATAGGTCGGCTATGCGCGGTAGAGGCTCTGCGTTTTTCACAGTGATGGCATTGAGGCCTCTATAATCAATGCACGTCCTCAAAGTACCCCCCTTTGTAGGTACGAACAGAACGGGTGATCCGTAAGGGGAAGTACTAGGCCGAATCCAACCCTTCTCTGTCAGCTCCTTTAGTTGCTTCCGAAGTTCATCTAACTCGACAGGGGCCATCCTATAGAACCTTCCCTTTGGGGTCTTACTCCCTGGAATGATTTCTATAGCGTGGACGACTTCCCTATCAACAACTCCTGAGGGCTCTTCGAATAGATCGGGGAACTTAGCAACGACGCGTTCTATCTCTGGGGGTGTTTTAACGGCCTCCCCTTTCTTAGAGACATAAACAAGGTACATACCCTCCTCTTGGTTTTGCTTATAGAAGTTGTAGAACGCGGATGCGCACAAGCAGCCATAGGTATCTATAATACTACTGGCCTTGAACTTGGTCAATCTGACAGTTCGGTCATTGAGCAACTTGTGTTTGCGCACCTTCTTATCCCAGTTGAGCTGGGGCTTAGCAACTTCGAGGTAGTACATGCCTAACAGCATATCAAATGGCAAGTCGTCGCTAACCAAGAACGAGATTTTATGGTTAAGCTCACCTCCTCCATAGGAGAAGGTACAGACTACGTCCTTGATGTAGTCCGTCACTATCATGCGCTCCTTGTTGGCCAAAGTAGATGCTACTGGTCTACTAAGGTGCCGTACCCGGTCCTGTAGGTGCAGCCTTTCCAAACAGTCGCGACTTATATAATTCCGTGTGGATCCGATGTCGATGAAGGCACCACATTTGCGGCCTCCTACATCCACTTCCACCAGAAAATGTTCCCCTCTAGGACCCTTCTTTAGCGCCACCCAAGACTCCCGAGGATCCTTGTTTGACCATTCGCCTTCTAAGTCTTCTAAGGCTTCAGACACATCTAACGTACAAAGCATAGTTTGGTCTAGATACGTCTGCGGGGTGACTAAGGAGTCGTTAGCTTCGGCCTTGTCATGAAGTGAGGAGGGTATCATGACCACTTCATCTTGAGTAGAAGCCGCTACTACTTCTAGTGGCCCTACGCGTTTCCCGAGCTAGAAGCCTGGGAATAAGATGCCCCCATCTTTGGAGCAATCTTTTGCGTAACCTTAGCGTTCTGGCACTTGTACTGCGTGTGTCCGTATTCCCCGCAGTTGATACAAGCACCACGCGTTCGGCGGTCACGCCACACGTCTTGTTCAAGACCTGCCTTAACCCAATCAGCCTGCTTGGTCTGATTGGAGGCGGCCTTGCCTTGACCCCTAGGCTGACCCTTCCCTCGGCCTGCCGCCTTAGTCTTTATTATCGCGGCGAGGGTGCTACCCTCAACTACCTCCTCGCCGTCATACTCTGCATAGTCCATCAGGTCAGAGAGTTCATCGATCTCAGTTTGAGTCCCATCAGACTCAACCATCATCAACTTCGCCCCCTTCTTCTTCCACTTCTGAGGACTATTCTTCTTCTTTGAGTCATTCCCTGAGGTGGGTTGAGCATTGCCTAGCGTGGCCTCTAAGTCTAAGGCTTTCCTAGACAGTGTCTCAAACGAGTGGTACTCAGTGCGTGCCTCGCTGGCTAGCAAGTTCCTAATGTTCTCTGGGAGACATATGACAAAAGTAGTCAATAGGAACTGATCGCTGTAGTTGATGCCTGGGACGAGGATCAGGCTTTCAATGGTAGTCGTAAGCTCTCTAACTGACCTGAACTTGCGTTGGTCTAGTTGTTAATGACATCAGTGGCCTTTTGAGCCTCCTGTGGGTTATGCCATTGAGCTTCTACCATTTCCATGAACTGGTCTAACGTCAAAGACTTAGCCCAGTCCGCCATGCGTCTCCCATACCCGACCTTCATAACTACTCCATCTAACCACTTGGCTGCCTTACCCTCCAGGTAAGATGCCGCAGTTACCACTTCGTCCTCTAGCAAGGTTTTCTTGGCCTTCACCCAAATCGGGACTGTTCTCAACCAAGTGTTGAGTTCTTCGCCCTTTCCCTCGCCTGAGAAGGCAAGGGCCGGTTTCATTGGGGTCTTAGGATACCATTGACCCTGCTGCTGTCCAGATTGCTGAACAGGTTGTTGCGGTGGTGTAGCTCCCACCGCCGGACCCGCCGGACCCGAAGAAGAAGATGCAACAGTCTGTGAGACTGCTGCAGACGTACTACTTGGTTGTGTACCAGCTTGAACTGGAAAGGGGCCTGACATCGCCGATAACGACAACAACGATTGTGCTGGTGACCGGTATTCTGGCCTTGTCAACGCATCCAGGATCTGGTCTAGAGTGCTCTGCATGAAGTCTAATTTGCTGTCCACGTGTGCGTGCAATGACAACATATTCTTCTTCAATACTTTCAGCGGGTCAGTCAATGCTGACTCGTCCAAGCCCTCTAATTCAGCCTTGTCAGGCTCTAAAGTTTCAAGCCTGGCTGCTCTAGTTTTCATCGCATTTTCTCTATCGGTAGCCTCTTTCAGGTCCTGCTCTAACTTACGGCGGAGCCTCTCGACCTGCTGGATCTCTCTGAGCTCCCTCTCACGTGGGGTCAACGGGCTGAACTGCGCGCCCGCCATTTGACTAGAAGATTGTCTAGAACCTGTGGAACCGGAAGTGCCCGAGGAACTTGTGGAACTCGTTGGCATTCCCAACTGGCCCCCATTAGTCCCTGACGAGGACGCAGAGGATGACGCAGCAGAGCTTGCGCCATTAACCATCCCTGCTGCTCTGGCTGCTGTTGCCTGCTCTCTAGCTGCTGCGTTTGCTGCTGCTGTCCCCGCTGCTAGAGCACGGGCTCCACGTAGCCGTCTTTCTTCTCCCAGCTCCAAGGCCTGGAACACGTGTGGTACCCTTAGTGCCTGTGCACGTGTTAGTCTCCTACCGTCAGCTCTATCATCAACAGGTTCTGAACCACTCATTAGTTAGGCAGATAGTATCTGCACTAGAATCCCCTAGTGGAATCCTACCGCAGCATGTATCTGACCGGCACGTAGTTTCTATAAATGGTTGTGTCCGACGAGTTCCCTACTATACCGAATCAAGTGGCATGTCTACAACATTCACACAGATTGTCTACACAGTCTAGATGCACCCTTATTAGTTCACTTACAGTAGCATTAGTTAGAACTGGCTATGGCAGCATACAACAGTCCTACACTAATCTGTCTGTGAGGTTAGCAGTCCGTCAACCAACTAATCAAAGGTACAAAAAGACAATGTAGCAGATGTATGATTGATGGGTATAGTTGTGTACACAGTTGAGCACCAATTGGAACCTACCCTCCCCTCAATCCAACATACCGAAACAGCATTTTGAGCAAAGCAGTGTTTTCGTGTGTGTATCGGCCCACCCCTGTGCCCAAGTCAAAGCCAAGTAAGCCAGCCAGCCCACTCTTATTTACCCTCGTACGGAAACGAGCCTTACACCCGGATGATCTGGCTGATCAGGAGGATTATTAAGAGCACCCCCATCTCTTCAGGAATTCTTTAACGTCGCAGTCAGGACGACGATCACAGCCAGAATCATACCGAGTACCCAACCAGAAATGTTTATAGACGGTCTGGTAAGCGTCTCATACAAGGCTGGCACACTTGGCAAGACTTCTATCTGAGCGCAGCAAGTGCCAAAACAGGACAGCAGCCATTGCATGCATGCACTACTCCCTGTGGGTTGGCATGGTGACCGTGACCCAGTGCTTCGACCAGGGCCCTTCAGAGGCACCGCCCTTTCTCCTTCCAGATGCTTCCGGGAAGATTGTCGTCTCTCAAGGTAGCGCGCTCACGACACCTCACCTAGGAGAGGACTCTCAAGTTGGATTCACTTCCTCACGGTAAGAAGAGATTGAGAGAGTAGATAAGGTAAGGGATCAACATACCTGGAGATAGCTGCCCCCAACCACAGATTTCTCACCAATTGAGCTGATGTTGCATTTGATGACCGGTCATGACCTCGGTACCACCCACAACGCAATGCAGTGCCACCTTAGTCCAATGCCACATCAGCATGCTCTCATCATCAATCAAACATTCCGCTGTATCCCACGGCATAGCCTTCCGGTGCACCCCTCTCTACCCAGGGCGTGCACCTATAGTGGCCTGACGTCACAAGTACCCACTGCGAAGAAGCATCGTCAACGCACCAAGTCTGTATAACGCCAGCGTGCCAAAGGTAAGTGGCGATCAAACCAGCTCCGATACCAAATTGCAAGGAACATGAATATGGACGAAGCACAGAAATCCAGAATGCAAAATCACACTGAAGTCCAAGTAGTCCAAGCCAAAGCAGATAGCACAATGGAACCGAGTAACCATCCAATTGAGAATGATACAGAAGAATC